ATATTATATCATGAGTTGTGCTCAAAATACTATTGGACGGAACTGTGGGCATTGGCGTATTGGAGGACAATTTATGCTGTGCCAGACATGTCTGTATGGGAAGTCCCGGATCACATTAGGGAGCTGAAGATCATACCTCCGGATCCTATCAAGCGGAAGGGAAGGAAAAGAGTTAATAGACTTCCATCTGGTGGAGAACACCGTAGGAGGACACAAAACAAAAAGCGGCCTAGGCAAAATTTTGGTTTCAATTGGCTGTTATTTGGAAATGGTTCAAGCCCTTCAGAGCTTCCCACGGCCTAACCACAACTTGTTACTCTGTGTAATTTGTATTTTTTTTGGAATACTCTGGAAAACTATTTTATCTTCTTTGTAAAACTGCATTGTGTTTTCGAGTGTGACATTATTATTATGTAGATGCAAACTTGATTCGTTATGACATTTACTATTATGAAAACTCTAGTCTGACTAATAATTCAATTAATCATATTTTTCAAAACTTTCTCAAAAATTATGAAAACTCTTACTATCTCCATAATAAGCCTTATAGTTTCACTCACACTTTGTGAATGAAGAACATGTCTCAAAGGAGATTATCAGGTAATGTTTGTTTGCCAAATATTTGTGCAGTGAACAAGATAAATATCATGTTCAAGTACTAAAATCGAAAGTAAAACAAGAAAACCAAACTGAAAGCACTGGTAACACTGAATAAATTATAAATCACAGAAAGTACAACTATGAGCAAATCTCGTAAAACTAGTATCTTATGTAAAACTAAGAACAAATTCCGTGGAGGGAAATGAAATTACATTGGCGCCAAAAATTATTTTTCTCTATTTTCTTCCATTTCCCCTCTGTGTCACGTCCCATCTCTCTCTCTCTCCACTCCATCCCTCTACTTTCTTTATCGAGCCATCTCTCTCTCTCTCTCCACTCCATCCTTCATTTCTCTCGATCTCTTTCGGTTTCTCCCATTTCTCTCTGACAGTAAGAACTGAAGCATGACTCATCCCCACGAGGAGTACAGACACATGAAGGCCTTGAAGAGACACAACGACATGCTTGGTTTCGTGGCTGATGCGGAGTACGGCGTCCCGACCAAGTGCCCGTGTGGTGGATGTATCATTCCAGAGGTATCTCCGTGTAACAAGTTTCCCAATGATTTTGATACACAACCTGGAAGGAGGTACTTCACCTGCAAAAACTTTGAGGTAATTTTCATGTCGTGCAAAACTGGTAAAACTTGTATAACTAGAACTTGCAAAGCAGGTAAAACTAAGAACTAGGATAACTTGTGATAAAACTTGAATAACTAGTGATAAAACGTGAATAACTAGGATAACTAGGATAACTAGGATAACTTGTGATAAAACTTGAATAACTAGGATAACTTGTGATAAAACTTGTGATAAAACTTGTGCAGAATGATGGTCTACACTTTCGTACGCCGTGGGTGTTCGCGATTGAGGACGAGGTTACGAAGTTAGTACGCCGTGTAGAAGAGATGGCTGAGGAGATTGATCGCCTCAAGTCTCAGCTTTACCAACTCCAACATCCATGATCCCATCTTGTTGCTCTAAGTTGTTGTTGTTCTAAGTTGTTGTTGTTGTTGTTCTATGTCGTATGATGGTACTTTGATCCATGTTGCTACTTTCCTTCTCTATGTTTGTGTCTTATGACTTAAACTATCTATCTAATGTTTGTGTTTTGTGGTTTACTTCTCTATGTGTGTGTCTTGTGACATTATACGAAAATAACAAGTTTGCAACATCAAACCAAAATCAAGAAAATGATTAGCTAAAAGTCGAAAATGATTAGCATGTGTCACATACCAAATCTATATCATGATTCAGGACGTGAAAATGATTAACGAAAATAACAAGTTCAAAGTACCATCAAATCAAAATAACAAGTTCAAAGTACCAAACACAAAATAAGTTCAAAGCACAAGACATTGTGCTCTTAAGATCAAGTCACAACCAACATAGACGCGTCCCCAACTAGAACACATGATCTTCCTAGTTCACCCGGGAGGAAGAAGCAATGTCACCTGCAGATTTAAGACACTCCTTACTTGGAGCACATACACACATCAATGGCCAAGTGTTCCCATCTCCAACCACATTGAAGACAAAACTGTCTCCAATGTGGCATTTGTTTTCAGCACAGAACTTTCTCCACCCTTTGATGTAGTAGAAGCCGCCTGATTCGCTAAATCGCATTGACACATTCCACGCCTTTCCCTCTATGTTCACTAGTTTCGCCTTCTTGCATTCTTTGTTCAGAGCATTACAACCAGTAGCCCCCACAGGGAGATCCTACAACAAAAGAACATAAACATATGTGTCAGAACATAAAGAACATATGTGTCAAAACATAAAGAACATAAAGATGTGTAAGTACACAAAAGAACACTCGTTTCACTCACAAGTTTGTCTTCACAGATATTAGAATCCGTGACCTCAGCCTTAAAACAGTAGTCCCACGAGTAAGAAAACCTTGCCCCTGTTCCTGCTGAAACATAAGAAACAAACAACAACTTCAAAAAACTTCATAAGTAACCTATGCTAGTACGGTGACTTTGAATCACACTTAGTATTGTTCTCGTGGTCATGGGCTTCTTCCATTGAGTTGGGATATGTGTACTGGATGTCACAGCAGCTCGGACCAAAGGGAGTGACGTGAAAGACCATGGAACCTTCGAGTTTGAAGATGACAATGTCTCCTATTCGAAGGTCATGTGCCTCAGCGAACTCCTTCCAACCTCGGGTGAGTCGCCTCTCTTCTTGTATCACTTGCCATGTTTGATCCGTAGCGTCGGATGTTAGTGTCCATGTGTTCCCATTCGTCTTCCCTTGGATGTGCTTGGAGAAAAATACAAAGGGTATTGTCTGCAATCAAGATTTGAGGTAAGTTACACAAACAAGGAAGAAATCAGGTTCTTGCAATCAAGAAAAGGCAGTAGAGAGAGTGNCCATGTTTGATCCGTAGCGTCGGATGTTAGTGTCCATGTGTTCCCATTCGTCTTCCCTTGGATGTGCTTGGAGAAAAATACAAAGGGTATTGTCTGCAATCAAGATTTGAGGTAAGTTACACAAACAAGGAAGAAATCAGGTTCTTGCAATCAAGAAAAGGCAGTAGAGAGAGTGTGTTTACCAAGTAAGTCTGGAATCCAGGAAGCAAAGGTTGGAAGAAATGAGGTTCTTGCGGTTGCGCCATCTGAAAACAAGCAAACAAAAGTTAGACAAATCAACAAAGTTAGACAAGTCATTTTGCATGTCAAGGAACTTGCTAAAGTCACAGACCATATCTATATCATTTTTAGTTTTATTTGACCATTTGCTATAACCGAAAACTAGCAAATCAACTCAATCAAGCATCATGAACTCCCATCGACTGAGCTAGCATAAAATTCTCAATCAAGCATCATGAACTCGATATAACCAAAACTAGCGTCATGAACTCGATCAACAGAGCTAATTCATTAACTCAATCAATCAAATACGCTAAGCAAAGCCGTCACTTGATCGATGGACCGAATCTAAAAAACCCTAAGCAACTTAATTAACCATTTGGTGGTGTCGCCATCTAAAAAACCCTAAGCAACCCTAAACAAAGCCGACGTTTTCTCCAACCCTAAAGAAATGAACCGACGTTTTGTAGTTTCTCCATCCGAGGAAACTCGATCGATGGAGAAACAGAACCGACTAGGAAGACATACCTTCGGTTGTGTCGCTATCGGTGGGATTGGCCGTCGCTGGTCTCCTCTTCGGTGGGATTGGCCGTCGCTGGTGGTCTCCCTCGGTTGTGTCGCCGAAGTGTCGAGAGAAAGGGTCTTCACAAAGAAAGAAAGAAAATGGGAGAATCGGGTGACTCGGTCGGGTGGGTGGGTCTTGTTTGGGACCGTCTGGTTTCGGGATTTAAGAAAGGGAATTGGTACAATTTGGTTTTTGGACGGTTAGGTTTTAATTTCGGGTTGAAATTAGGGATTGGTTTGTGGTTCAACTCAATTCGGTTATTCCTTCGGTTAAGGTAGGTACAACCGATAAATACTTCAAATTTTCTAGGGTTAAATGTAATTTCCGGCTTTTTATTTAACTCCCCATTTTTCCCCATTTTTGTTTTGTTTTCATGTCTAATGAGATTAGAGAGATATCAATGTGGGTATAGGAGATGTTGTCCCGTCCTGAAAACGACAGCGTACGGAGAGGGATGCTTTTGCTGCACGACGAAGCCATAAGCAATGAAAGGGTCAAGTGTGACTTTCACTACAGTTTCGATTGGAGACCCATTTGCTTGAGAAAGGCCTAATCTCAATTGTGGGGGAGCCCTAATTCGATCTCGAACGACGATGGAGGAAGATGACAAACAATCGCACGAGGGGGAGAAAGAAGCAATTGAGAGAGAGGATGCCGAGACGGAATCGCCGCCTCAGAACACCGGTGGATGGGGATGGGGATGGGGATTTTCTGGCTTCTCCGACCTTCAAAAAGCTGCCCAAGATCTATCTCGCAATGTAAGAGAAATCGACTAATCTGATGGGATTACAATTCCATACAAGTTGTGTATTTAATTTCAGAGTGGTTTTATTCTCTCATGTAGGCTGCAGCAGTGGCAGCGCAAAGCATTGCGGATATGCAGGAAGGCGATATTGACTCAGAGTCTTCTGCCAAGGAAACTGATACGGAGCAGGATTGTGATGATGATGATGATGAGAGTCACAAGTTAAAGAAGTTAGCTCTAGCTAAGTTGGAGGATGCAAGTGAAGAGTCACTTCTTAGCCAGGCAAGTTTTTCTTCTCTTATGCATAACCCACTCTCCATATTTTATGGTGTTGTGTATCTAATACAGCTCAACCCATTATTCCTTATTTGCTAACGGTCTTATCTTTTCCAGGGTTTGAAGGTCTTTGATGATTCAGTTGAGAGTTTCACTTCTGGAGCTTGGCTCGCACTAGGAAATGCATTAAAGGGAGGCACTAGCTTGGTGCAAAAGTATGTTACTTTCTATTTTCTCTTTGTTCCGTATTTTTTCTGTGAATGGAAATGGAAATAAGCTTTAGTTCCACTGTTGTAACTTCAAAGGATTTATCAATGCTCCTTAAGAAATGTGTGAATCGAATATTATTTACTTCACTTTCGGAGGCCCTGAGCATTAATTTTTGGCTGAATTAAGAACACCATGAAAATACTCAATTTATATTATTTCATGGATTCTTATTCTGGTAAATTTTCTTGCTCCTTTGGTTCTCCATCGCCAATAAAAACGCTGAGTACGCTATGTGTCATTTCCTGAAGATAAGAATTCATTTTTTTTGCTGGCAACTGGTTAGACTGTGGTAGCGGTAGCTGAACGAACCCAGAGGTCTTGTGTTTCTTTAATAGGGACTTCTTTTCCTTAGGAAAATATAGTTCAAGTTATTGATGCCGCATTGTTTCTTTTGTAGGCTTGAAAACAGTGTCCAGCAAGGTACTTCGCCTAGGGAAGCTGGATCTGATGCACCCTCTCTACTGGAGGTTTGTCGTCTTCTGTATTTCTTTAGCTTAACGTTTCGTTTATCCCTCCTACTTCTGATCTACAGACGGGAAAAGCATTAACTGCCAAAGGAATGCAAGTTCTTGAGTTTGTGGGCAAGGAGACTATGGATTTGTTGATTACAGAGACTGGTCTTGGAGTCGACAAGAATGGGGAAGGCTTTAAGGATCAGACTATTGAGGAAGTGACATTTGATCGATGCTTTTACATTTATGGTGGCCCGGAGCAGCTAGAAGTGAGATTCTTTTTCAACAAAAAATCACCTGTCAAATTTTGTTTTTTGGATCATTTATATTGGTTTTCCCATTTTCTCGATATGTGGTGATTCCAGGAATTGGAAGCGTTGTCCAGCCACTATACTCTGTTGTTCAACAGGAGAAAGGGGAAACTGTCTCAAGCTGAGAAAACTATGTATGACGGGAAGCTCAAACAGATCCAGCAGCTGTTTAGCTTCGCTGCTGAAATGAATGGAAATAATGCAGAGTCTGATAAAGGGAAGCAAATAGATACCAACACTGAAGGCAGTGATGATGACATGAAGAATTTACATAACTCGAGCGTCAGCAAAGCTGCTGATATGGCTGCTGGGTAATCATGAGTATTCCCTTATGTGTCAGTATATTTGACTTTGATCTGTTTTTTTTTTTTTTTAATTTTCTCGTCACTTTTGGTGTTTTTAGGTTCACAAACGCTTTAACTGGAATAAGCATAAACGATATGATCCAGCGGACTGGTGGCAGGCTTGAATCTCTTCATTCAGAAGGAGTTCATGTGCGAAGAGTGTTACCTTTTAAACTCTGTTATTATATTGAGTTTGTACCACCAGTATGCAACTAATATGAACTTTTTGTTCCTCAGAGACTTTCAGAGATGTGCTGTTTCGCAGTCACTCATCTGCTTATTCTCGGTAAGTCCATGATATCTCATGCAACAAAGTTCAGGATGAAGACACCAACGCTTTGAAAATCGAGTGGCCAGAGGATCTTACTGAAAAAGCTAAGCTGATTAGAGGCAAAGCAGAATCGATGGCTGGATATGTTGAAGCAGTTTCCAACAGTTTCATAACAGGTTCGTCTATAATTGCTCAACTTAGTTGGGCTTATAACTGCTATCGCATTTCTTACTGTGGATACTGGGTTGCCAGAATCATCTTATGTAATGGAGTGAGTATCTCAATTGTCATATTAGAAGGTACAAGGAACATTTCTTGTACGATGAAGTGAAATTCTTAGAATTTACCCGTTCAGCCAGAAAGAAAAACAATGGACTTGAGAACACCCAGATTGTGAAGGGGTACTCAGCATAAATGTACTTTGGTAACGTGTATTTCACGTAAATGGTGGCTTGATCCCATTTCAATACCTTGAGAAAAGTTTAGCTTACACACTTTCATTCAGTTTAGTTTGGGATTATCTCTTGCATCCTGTGATTAAGACAGAAAAAGGGTATGTTTGTGAAACCCGACAGAACTAAAATACCCTTTTCCACGTTGCAGGTATATCAGATGTATCCGAAACTTACACAGCTGCGATCAAAGGAGCTTCTGCTAATGATTCCAAAGTCGATCTTTTGAAAACATCAACCATGGAGGAAAAGGCAAGCACTTTCAACGATTGTCTTCGCTCTGACCAGACGACAGCTATCACGAAGATACAGGAAGGACTTCAGTACCTATCCTATGTCGTGATATCTACCTCAATGCCCTCTGCTTAATATAATAAGAGTCAGATTGGTTTCATTTGTGGTTTTTCTTCTTTTTTTTTTGTAGATATTATCTGTTTCGCTAGTTGCTCTTATGGTCAGTTTGCTTCAACTTTAGTTCTGCTTCTCTGTTGTTTGGATCTTAAAAAGTTTTATAAAATCTGGAAACCAAATATTAAAAAGAAGGGTAGATAGATTACTTATTTTATTGTTGAGTGTTGCTTCCGAAGTTTTGTTGCTTGGACGTTCATTTAATTGTGGTATTAAACTATAAACATTGCTTTCAGTATTTGTTAACTTATGTATTTGCGTAGACGTTTGAAAATATAACTCTATCTTTCGTCGGTGTGAAGGCACTGAAGGGCATGTGGTAAGCTAGGGGTAAAGTAAGAAGTGGAATTAGAAGAAGATAAATGCAAATAAAGGAATAAAAGTGTGTGGTATGTTTGATAAATGGTGAATAATAGGGCAGTGCTCATTCTATACAAAGGATAATATGGCTGGCTGGCTCTTGGGGTCTGGAGAAATCTGTCGAGAATAATCCCTATAGCAAAACACTTTCCTTGTATAGATATATGAAATGACAGGTCAGCGTTTTTTTTTAATCTGATATTTGGCATCCTTTGGGGGAGCTGCATAATAGAGTAAATAGGAGAGGTGGAAACATAACAATTGGAAAGTCCTAGACATGTCAGAGTTGCTGAGTTGTAGTCAGGACAGAATGGAGATTCAGAAGATGTCTTGTGATATACTTTAATGTATCATTTTGCATAATTGTTCCACAATCAAGCTCATCCGGAACCCACCCAAAAGTTATCTTGTAAGTGAAGGGACTGATAGAATTTTATATGTTACTAATTGTTTGGCATGATTACCAATGTGGGACATGTATCAGTACCGCCTCTTTTAAATAGTGACTTCCCCGATGCTGAATGGATAATCGCTAATATCTCCAGGTGTCCCCCATTATACTCTTCTCCCTTTCTCGCATCACCACATGTTGACGTCGTGCGTCACTAGGTCCAAAGAACGAGATGCGCTGATACCATCATAGTGTTCCAGACAATAACATAATTAATTGAGATCTCATTATTATATGGACCACTAGTACTCTTGAAGTTTGGCGTCCCAAACCCCATTATTTGGAACATTAGGTTCAATCGGCCCACTAGGCTCGACCGTTTCATCCATGTTTAGAGTTCCCTCAACCACAAATTCATTAGCACCTTTCCTTAGTTACCGAGGGTTCTTATCTTTGGAACCTATTGTTCTACCACGTTTCAAACGTGCTTTGTACTCTGTAGCAACTTGACTGTATCCTTCTTGGACATCAATAAGAATTGGTGCTTCACATCTGGTATATATGACTTTGTTACTCTATTCGGGTCAGCAAAATAATCTGGCAATTGATTAGTTAGCTTTTGTAAGTGTATTATCTTTTGGACTCCTAAATCACACTCTTGAGTCTAAGGATCTTGCCAGGACAAAGATGGTTGAGACCATGAAATTTCTTTTACTTTTACCAGCTTATTATTATCTCCTCCTAGTGTTGGATAATTGGATTCATCAAAATGACAATCTGCATACTTAGTCTTAAACAAATCACTCGTGGTTGGCTCAAGGTATTTAATTATGGTGGGATATTCATATCCAACATATATCCCCATCCTCCTTTGAGGTCCCTTCTTAGTTCTTTGTGGTAGAGCTATTGGTACATCGGTGGTACAGCCAAATGTCCTAAGATGGGATGTATTTGACTCGTGACCCATTAGCAATTGGGACGGGAAATATCTATGCTCACTAGATGGCCTGATGCGAATTAATTCTGCTGCATGTAAAATTGCATGTCTCATAGTATCATGTAGACATTATTCAATTTCGAACTATGTTGTCAGTCATTTTTGCTGATTACATCAGTGTCTAAGAGTGTGATTATGTCGTCTTGCATTCCTCTCGTGCCAAATGTAATAAGTTGTGATCTGAACCACTAGCCTCAACAGTATGAAAGGTAAGAAACCAAAATGAAAAAAAAGTCGTTACAATGTGTCATTCCAGTCCGAGTCAGGTTCTGCTCCGTAAAGATTACCTACACCACTTCTATCAAGAGAGTATACTAACAATCAAAAAAAGAGGTGGTCTCTTGTTTCTTCTCGTTCTCCACATACACGAGTGTCTCCAATTCCTCATTCCATCTCTTTTTGATAATTTGAGTCTTATTGCCATCCATGTTATCAAAGTAAACCTAGGTACTTGCGAAAACTAAATAAAATTACTTCATCGATGATTTTTCTTATGAGGTCATCTGATCTCAAGTGTGTTATGAATAAAACCAACGGGTTAAGTGGATCATGATTACTCTTTCACATCATGAGATCTTCACCATTATCAAGACGATACCTGTCCCACATCGAAAACCACATCAGACAATTAATAACATATAATTTCATATTGGTCCTCCTCTTACAAGCTAGCTTTTGAGTGGATTCTACTTATAGGTTTTAGATGGACTTGATTGTCGGAAATTTATGCTAAAAAATATATATCGGTCGATATTGCCGACAATAAGATCAATTTAGCGACTGCTATTAGATCTGTCTAAGAATCGAAGTTCTTATATATCTTGCAAGCAACTTACTAAAACATATGTAGCATTATAATCATGATTATCTGAATAACAACCTTGAATCTAACTACTTTCTTTTATTATTTTAAAACCAAAACTTATTCTCTTGAGCAACTTATCATTGCTCACAACTGCAATTTACTATTTTAAACTAATCAACCTAGCATAATCACTTAGGACTACATCTTTTGTGTTCCTCAGTTACATGTGGATTCGATCCCTAAGTACTACAACTGAACATCTTATTTGAGAGAGTAATTCACTTCTTAGGGTTAAACATTTGAGTGATATCAAAATCACCGTTGCCGGGGAACTTTGATAGCCATTAAATTCAATCTGATTAGGTCTAGGTTATTTTTCTTTTATTGTTTTTTCAGGTACATGCCCAGCAGTACTAGAAGCAACAAGAACAAACAACTTGTGTACTCAGAAGACCCTCACAGCTTGGAACGTAGCATCCACAAAGACCTACGCTCCGCATCGATCGGCATCAACACTTCTTTGTCGACCGATACTTGCCTACCACAGTCGACCGAGACACCTTCTTCGTCGACCGATACTCTCACCGCCACATCGATCGACATCAGCAACCATTCGTCGACCGATACTCTTCATCCGAGATCGATCGATATACCTCACCTTACATTGATCGATACTAACCGGCGAGACATGGTAGCGCCTATTATTCTCACAACCGATGAGAATGGAGACCTGCGTGATCAAGATGGTCACATGCGTAATGCAGCAGGTCAGAAGCTGAACGCTCAGAAGGAGATCATACCTGAGCACGAAACTGCACCTACAAACATCATTCAACCTGTAGAAGAGGCAAACCAAGCTAGAACTTTGGCTAACTACAACCGTCCACATCAGTTCTATTCCAACCGGTCAGCCATCCGCCCTCCTGCTATTTAGAGAGGAGATTTCGAGCTTAATCCGCAGTACTACACACTTGTATGACAAATACCCTTATGTGGGTTGTCCCATGAGCATCCTATGGACCATCTGGAGAGGTTCGAGGATCTCATAACCATTATAAAAGCCAATGGAGTCCCTCAAGACTATCTTCTCTGCAAGCTTTTCAAATACTCTCTATCTGGAGAAGCTTTGCAGTGGCTGAGGCAACTACCACCAGGTTCTCTCACAACCAGGAGCGACATTAAAAACGCATTCCTGCGTAACTTCTTTGATGAGTCACGCGCTGAAGAGTGGAGAAGAAAGATTGCTACATTCACTCAGAATCCTGAAGAGTCATTCAAAGACGCATGGAACAGATTCAAGTCATACCAACGAGATTGTCCACACCACGGATTCAACAAAGTGAAACTGCTTTTCACTTTCTATAGAGGCATCACCTTGGACTATCAAAGAGCTCTTGATACAGCTAGTGATGGCAACTTCAACACCAGGAATCCACAAGAGGCTGTGAAGTTAATTGATAACTTAGCCTCCAGCAACAGCAGAAAGAACTTCATGAAGAAAAAAGCTACATCATTCCTTGGGAAGGAATACATCAATGAAGTGCGAGCACAGTTGGATACCGTTCAGAAGTTACTAAACAAGCAGATCTGTTCAGTGGAGGATGCAGACACTGTAGGTGAAGATTATATAGAAGAAGATGTGAACTGGGTCAGTGGAGCTGGTTTTCAGAGATTTGGTAACCAAGGAGGATCAGAAACTTCATAGGCCAGAGAAGCAACTTCAACCAGAGTTCACAGAAGCCTAACACCTTCAGCAGCAGCAGCCCCAACAACAACAAGAGCTATGGGAATTCATTCTACTCAAACCCAAACCCACCCACCCAAGATAGTAAACTGGAGGAGATGCTAGACAAGGTTCTTGAGAGTCAGCAGAAACTCCAGACAGACTTCAATGGAAAGATTGAATCTGTCTACAACACCCTCACCACAAAGCTAGATGCTTT